ACATCTGACCTATATCTTCAATGTTGACAATACTTTTTTAGGTCATTTGATTCCAGGTAATCATTTCTGTGATTCAGTATATAAATCTCAACATGGATATAGTTATAAAAAAACTTATATTGCCAAAGGTCAAAGGTTTGGAGATGAACGACTTACAAAAATTTTCATAAATGATAATCTCACATCTTACAAAGACAGTTTTTTTTTACTCTTTACATACTTTGTACATGTCGATCTAAGTTTGTTTGTATTTTATTTATTTATTTATTTATTTATTTATTTATTTATTTATTTATTTATTTTTTTGTAAAAAGAAATTTAAACTATTAGATATAAATATAACATTAAATATAATATAAATTATACAACTTGTGTTAATTTCACTTTTCTGTGCTGATATCACTTACTGATAAATTTTTAAAACTGATATTTTATAAAATCTGAGCTGTAATTTTTATTCTCACTTTGGTTACGAAGGCTGTCTGGGACACAATGGTCGCCTGAAAATCCTTCATTACACACACAAGAGAAAGATTCTGAATGAGGTACAGCTTCCCCATCTTCATTGGTAGTATACTTGCAGTGAATGCATTTGATTTCAGTCATACAGCATCTTTCATTATCCCCACACACAGGTGGACTTGCGCCAAATGCTACAAAATAAACTAGAGAATTAGAGAGGTGACACTGCTTTTTGGGTACGTACCACCAGCTAGATTTGGCACATAGAAGTGATGATTGATAACATACAGACAAAAATACTTGAAAAAGTTTGCAACTGACATGTAATTGGGGACATACCTGTGGAAATATATTCATATAGTATGTCACCCCAGACTGCCAAATTATCAACCCCATCATTTGGAAATATGAAGTGAGTATTTTGTGTTGTCTTGAGTGATTCTCTACTTTATCTAGTACTAAAATAACTGTCACCTGCTTTTTCATTCCCTCCAATAAAGGGTGGAATTTCAAGGTAGCAATACTGCTGACTGTATGTACCTGCATGTATGTCTGTACATCACATAAATCTAAGTATCTTAATTGCTCCAACAAGATAAGTCTTAGGAATTATATTAGGCCTATTTTATATAGAAACAGCATTTTATGAACACAAATGGAGATTAAGAGCACATTCAGAACAGCAGACTAACATATCCTCAGATCAAATATGGCCAACCCAATCAAATGCTTGTTCCGTAATCCCCCTGTGGAATCTATTAAGTGTCTAATTGGGAATAAAACAGCAAACTTTTTAGTGGGTCACCATACTCGAATCCCGGCCCTATTAGTCCACTGTCCTGAATGTGCTCTAAGAGATGAACACACTTCACACAAACATCACACAGCTGACACAGCCTTTCACATATGCATTAATCAAGTTTAACCCAGACAGCAAATTGCCTTCAATATAAAAATAAATAAAAAGGACTAATACTTACCACCATATAGTGACACCACTATCAAAACAACACAAAGGAGCATCTCCCTGTTCAACTGATAGTTTTGCTGCTGCTTCTGGCAAATTGCTGATCGAGTCGGAGAATGACTATGGATGTGATGAAACTTGGAACAGATTGCGTTTTTATACAATGTAGCAATTACAGACATACCATTACATTTCATTATACTTTAGTTAGCAAACTGGTTTCTCGGAAGAATTTTGAACTTTGAATCTCATGGTTCATGATGGTGGTATGAAGGCAACCCATTGGATATTAACTTTAAAATAAACCTTAAATGCCTGGTCACCTTTTTTGATACATTTCTCTTCCCTCTCACTCCAACTGTATTTTTTCACCATCAACTTCATAGAAATGAATGATTTCATTAATGTAGTAGTAGTGCGTAACTCTTCTCAATTCTGCGACTTATTTTGCCCATATATTTGGGAGATGTGTTAGATCATATTGCATTTGAATAGTTTTTGTACGTGTATCTGAGTCGCAATGCAAAAAGTGCTAATATAATGTGTGTGAAATCATCAAAAAAAATGACAGGGCTTTTTTTCTGAAAACCTGTCCATGAACATTATATGATGATACCAGTTTTTTGTATAATGTCATTTTAGCCTGATTTTTGGTTAACAGCGCAAATTATAACCTTATTACCAATAAACAGGTAACAAGCTAAACATTTCATTATGCAAAGAGTTTGGTCAGCTTCCATCTCTAGCTGTATACATAGGCCAAAAATGCTCTTTTTATACAGCAGCAATGTATATATTTATTTGTGGAGTTTTCACATCTGACCTTGGATTTGAAAGACTTTTTTCAAGGTCAAATGGGACAATGTTTTTTTTTTTTTTTCTATTTAAAAATTGTGTGTGCTTCATAAACTTCATTGATCTTCCAGGGGTCTCCTTTCAGCTAGTTTGTTGCATTTGGTAGAGCACATCAAGCGCAATATTGAAAGCAGTGTTCCTTGTACTATCTTGTACTATATATTCTGATCACTGTCTGTCTGTCCACTGTCTGTCCAAAACCTCCGTCTAAACTACAAAAACATTTTACTTTAATTACACTGTGTAACATTATTGGTGGAAAATGTTTTGTTTCGAATTTCAGCATGGTTTTTACCAAAGTAATGTTTTTGCATATCAGATTATTTTTCTGATAGCTGTTTATTTGAATTTTATTGTGTGAATTTATTTATTTATTTATTTTATTTTATTTTGGTAACATACCCCATAATGCCAAACAATATTTTTGTTTCACTTCAGATTTGCAGAGTGGCTATATGTATGTTTATAATGCAGCTTCTTTTGAAAAATCAGCATGATTCGCTTATTCCTTTGAATGTTTTTTTTTTACTGGGAGAGGGATATTGTTGCTTAAGTATCTGTATAATTGCCAGTTTGTCCGTCTTTCTAGTTTAAATGGCTGGATGTTTAAACGGGTGAAGGTCACAGTAGAAAGAACAGATATGTTTCTTTTCTAATTTATAATTGCTGTAATTAGAAGCACACGTAAGAACTTGCATCAAGCTGCAGCATAAATAATCTACTCACAAATTTGAAAACTGTGGAAGTCTTGCTGGATGATACTGTCAGAATGATGAACAAAAGAAAAAAATTACAGTAATGTTGCAAGTGATTTACATGTGTTCTTAAAGATGCATACAAAGTCAATTTTTTGTCACAAAAACCAACCAAATGCCAGCATATGGTTTCAAGTAGTATAACTAAGAGAATTACCAAAAGGCATTGTTNTTTAAAAATTGTGTGTGCTTCATAAACTTCATTGATCTTCCAGGGGTCTCCTTTCAGCTAGTTTGTTGCATTTGGTAGAGCACATCAAGCGCAATATTGAAAGCAGTGTTCCTTGTACTATCTTGTACTATATATTCTGATCACTGTCTGTCTGTCCACTGTCTGTCCAAAACCTCCGTCTAAACTACAAAAACATTTTACTTTAATTACACTGTGTAACATTATTGGTGGAAAATGTTTTGTTTCGAATTTCAGCATGGTTTTTACCAAAGTAATGTTTTTGCATATCAGATTATTTTTCTGATAGCTGTTTATTTGAATTTTATTGTGTGAATTTATTTATTTATTTATTTTATTTTATTTTGGTAACATACCCCATAATGCCAAACAATATTTTTGTTTCACTTCAGATTTGCAGAGTGGCTATATGTATGTTTATAATGCAGCTTCTTTTGAAAAATCAGCATGATTCGCTTATTCCTTTGAATGTTTTTTTTTTACTGGGAGAGGGATATTGTTGCTTAAGTATCTGTATAATTGCCAGTTTGTCCGTCTTTCTAGTTTAAATGGCTGGATGTTTAAACGGGTGAAGGTCACAGTAGAAAGAACAGATATGTTTCTTTTCTAATTTATAATTGCTGTAATTAGAAGCACACGTAAGAACTTGCATCAAGCTGCAGCATAAATAATCTACTCACAAATTTGAAAACTGTGGAAGTCTTGCTGGATGATACTGTCAGAATGATGAACAAAAGAAAAAAATTACAGTAATGTTGCAAGTGATTTACATGTGTTCTTAAAGATGCATACAAAGTCAATTTTTTGTCACAAAAACCAACCAAATGCCAGCATATGGTTTCAAGTAGTATAACTAAGAGAATTACCAAAAGGCATTGTTTAATTTTACCCGAAAATGATGTTTGAACAGATTTTTCTGCTGGCATTCTAAGCTATATGTCAATGGGGCAGGAAAGTAGGTCACGGAAGTAGGTTAAATTTACAACCAAAACTTTAAAGAAAGGAGCAGTCTAAAGGTCTTTTATGGCTGATCGAGTGATCTATTCAGGTTATCCCTTGGCATGTCGAATTTATTTGAGTCATATAAGAATCTAGTAGAAGTGGTTTACAGGTGTTACTGGGAATCCACGCTCCACTGATGCTCAGTTCGTATGTACGTTTAATGTTTGGGCTAAGAAAAATAATTTTAGAAAATTTTCCGTTTTTGCATTTATTATGTCAATCACATTGTTTGACACTATTTGTTAATTTTCTCAGCAAATTGATTCCATGCTTCCAATGCGGTGATTGACAACAATATTAAATTGAAAATTATAGGGGATTCATTTCATTGCAATACTTAAGGACTCTCTCATTTTCAGTTTATATAATTCAATGAATTATCATCAACCCCTTCTCGCCCCCTCTCCTCCCTCACCCCCCCCCCAAAAAAAATAATAATAAAGTGAAAATGACAATTAAAGTCAATCAATTTTCCATCCATTTGCCCTGTAGAATTACTGCAAAAATTGTTCTCAAGTAATTATTTTTGTTTAATCATTTTGCCTCTGCCCCCCCCCCCCCCTTCCCACCAAAGCCCTGGATTCACCAATATTGTGGACAGAAAGAAAGTCTGACAAAAGGGTTGTTTGTTTGGGGTATTTTCTTACTGAGATTAAGTTGAAGACAAAAGACTGAAAACTGGCATTTTAATATCTCCCAAGAAGAAGAAGGATCATGAAAGACGACACTGACAAACAAACGAAGTAATTGCATTATATTTGGCCTGATAGTTAAGGCTGTTTTTATTTTTGTCAAACTCAAAGGAGATTTTACAATTTCACTTTCACTGATTGACCAGGTAATAGCTAGATTAGCTATCAGAGCTATTGATATAATTACTAAACCATACCATATGACCAAGATTTAATGGTAATACATTCTTCATTAACAGATTTGCATTGTCAATATGTATAAGGCAAGATCAATGGGCTAATAATCTTTTAAGTCTATCTAGTGATGGAGAATCAATATAATATTTAAGACATAATTGCTGTTGTTAATTTCCACCGAAGTCTCATCACAGTTATGTGTTGTGTAAAATCTAATTACAATTTGATCATTATTTTCCACTAAATTTTTTAATAAACCATTAAAGGCTTCATTTTAACATTGCAATTTGGTCACTATAGCTCTTCATGCATCCAAGTACAGTGAAAGCCCTAACAAGTGACAGAAAGTTCAAAAGTCCCTTGGGCCAAACCAAAATCAGACACCCCAATCAGGTAAGTTCCATCATCTATCGCTCCTTGGTCAATATCAATTTGGGAGCGAAACCCGGGACAGTTATCATCATTGAAGAAATTTGCAAAGTCCTTTGAAATAGCACAGCTCTGGGGGTTGGCAAATGGCAGTTGCACTTCAGATAGATCTTCACAGTCAAATATGGCTAATTTTGTGTCGTAATTGGTTGCTGGATTGCATGTGGATACCGTGATTGGATTATCCCCTTGGTAGTTGATGTAATAAAAGAGGGTAGGTACAAAATTACTATTGCCACCAGAAAGGTATTGACGGGTAAATACATAGGTGGTGCCGTCACAGGGGACCTCTATTAAGTCAGCTGTAAAAAAAAAAAAAAAACATTTTATCTATTTCTGTGACCATCAAAGATGGATTAAAGACTCAACTTAAGTTTATCAGTATTATATGTATATAAGACAACCACTAAGAAGAAAATCATTTTATATTGTAATAATAATGATTCTCTGGGAATTCTACAATAAAGTTTGAAAAGATTACATTGTTTACTAGCAAGTGTTTGGGAAAAATGTTGAAATTTTCATAGGAATTTATTTGACAGTACAACAGGTGGGGTCTTTAAAAAATTTTGTATATTACTCCCTTGACAACTTGGACTGTTTTTTTTTTTTTTTTTCAGTTGAAAGTCAAATTTAACTTTAAAACAAAAAAGTTGACCCAAGACAAAAACTTTTAAACAGATGTCTACAGTTAAAATCTGACTGAAAGTATACTTACAGCATACAGAGACTGCATCTATGGAAAAAAAAAAAAGAATACTTAATATATAAAGAGAGGAAAAATGATGTGCTGCAAGTTATATTTTGAAAAGGACCTAATACACATAAATAAGTAAAATGCAATTTGTTTAATTATTAATTTTTATAAAATTTATTTGACACACACACACACATACACATACACGTACATCAGACCAAAATCTGCAATGTTTGTTGCAGTTGACAAAAGTATTATGGGTATTTCATCAGGCGTCTGATAAAGTTTGATAAAAAAATGTCAGAAAAAAAGTCAGAAATTACCTAGCATGCCAGAAAAGTGAACATTGTAGTAAATGGCTGCAGATACCAGAAATACTCTAAAAATTGCTTTAAAAATAGCCATAATATTTAAATGAGCTTTTTCCCAATATTTTTCAAAATTTGGTCTAAGAAATTCCTAGCATTACAACATTTGTTTGATCATTTCCTGCTAATTTTTACTAGCTAGTTACAGTATTTGTTTGCATTTCTGATTATTTCCTACAATGGACTTCAGACATAAATCTGCAATTTGGGAAATCTGGGGGGGGGGGTAAATTTGTAAAAATCAAGTGGAAACGGCGACAATGGGGACACTAATTTTCAATTTGAATGATTTACAGAAATATTTATCCATGATCTCACAATTGGAAGTGAACAATATTTACTCTTTCAATTGGCTCCTTTATACATGTAAGTTTCTTTGTAAAAAAAGTTAAAGTAAGAAACAAAGACTTCTATTTAATGCAAAATCCATGCATGTGTATTATAACTTTTGATGTTTTATGTAACTTTTCAAATGACGTCATTATTTATTCTCATGTATCTACATGTATTTCTGCAAATGTTTAATTGAGTTTGAGTTTTAATTTTGATTCTCACCTGTGTTACAAAAGCCATCTGGAAGGCAAGGGTTGCCTGAAAATCCCTCATTACACACACATGACCAAGGTTTAGGACAAGGCATGCCTTTCCCATTTTCATTGGTGGTATTCTTGCAGTGAGTTTTGTTGTTTGGTTCCGTCTTACAGCATCTTGCATTATCCCCACACACAGGTGGACTCATGCCAATGGCTGCAAAAAATATCCAAATTATAGAAAAGCACTCACACTTTCACCAAGGTAGCTCAGTTCTCATTATTGTATGTATTATTCATTATTAATATACTGGGTTTGTAATGTTGCATCAAAAAATGACAAAAACCCTGTTTGGGGTACTGGCAACATAAATGTACCATGGAAAGTAATTTTCATGTTACATTCTTATTTCCAAACTTACTAGAATGATACTTAGGACTAAAAGTACAGCTTGAGTTTGACAGCCAGCCTGATTGGATTTCATTTTTTCTTGGAGTAGTGTAGTTTTTTATCACAGGTTAACATTTTCATTGACTTTGAACCCCCATGGGACTGAGCACGCCATATTTCCGACTTTTTCACTCAATGACAGTCTCGTCCCTCTCTGATGTGAAAAAAATTTGGTCAACTATCTGTTCTGCAACACTGGGGAGACTGCACATTATCTGCACATTTTGACATTTGCTACGTGGCATATCCTTCATAAATAGTTCTATAGTACACTGCAAATTTAAGTGGGTGCACAAAATTGACATTTAACCAGCTTCACTAATTTAATTGGTTATACTTCATGGAAGCTAAATTACTCTGCCTTCTGTCTCTCTCCAAAATTGTTGCTGGAAATGTCAGGTGTATGTGTGGAAAAGGTGGTGAATATGCAGTTGTTGCAGAATATTTCTGTGGTTTTTAGCCAAACTTAATTGTTAAAAAATTAAAAATATAAATGTCTTTCATCTTCAAATAGCTATTTAATAACTAGGCCAAATGTAAAACATCCTTCAAGTTATTATCAATTTACAGTTTGATAAAAGGTTATTTCTTGCCTGCTCATGTAGTCGCTCAGCTGACTCCTCAGCTGCCCTGAACTGGATCGGCTACTAAGGGACCATTCCCATAACCTTATCATACTAGCAGGATCGATGATTTCCAAGGGTATTCTTGCTAAATTGCATTTAGTTTAAGTGTGCATTAAAGTTAATTATCCCCCTAGCAGCTTCGGTGTGCGTGACAGACATTAAAGCCACTTGATTTTTTTAACCTTAGAACTTGATTCTCAACTAAAAGCACCTTATGCCTACCCTCTGTTTCAGCCTTTTTAAACCTTAGAACTTGATGCTCAAATAAAAGCACCTTATGCCTACCTGCTGTTTCAGCCTTTTTAAACCTTAGAACTTGATTCTCAAATAAAAGCTCCTTATGCCTACCTTCTGATATCAGGAGGGTATCACCTACTAACTTAAAGGTGTGAAATCTCACTGACAAATTTATAAAGGGTATGTCTGGCCAGGAACACGGTCCCTTTTGGGACCATTCCCAGACCCTATCCTACTAAAATTAGATTGTAGTATGCCTTCAATACAGAAATAAATAAAAAGACTTCAGCACTTACCACCATATAGTGACACCACCATCAAAACAACACCAAGGAGCATCAGACTGGTCATCTTCATCTTGATCGAGGTGATAGTTTGGATAGAAATCTGCAGCTGCTTCTTTTCTGGAAAATTGCTAGTCAGTCAGAAACAAACTATGTATCTGATGAAACTTTGTAAAGATTGCGCTTTTTATGTGAGCAAAATCAATCCCATGATGTTCCTTTTCCCTAATTTGGAAAACTTGCTTTATGTTTTCTAACAACTTTGAACATTGAATGTCATTGGTTATGACTGCTTTAGAGTCACCAATCAAATTACAGCTTAAAGAAACAACACCCTCTGAATGTGAAATGACCCTAGTCATTTACTCCCTGATGATAGTATACAGCTTCTGAATTATTGTCCCCGTATATTTGCAATGTGTGTACTAGACTACATTTGCATTTGATTACACTAGTGCGCTGGATTTGGTCTTAAAGTACAGTGTAAGATCACAAGTGATCTTACACGATCTTAGTCATTACAGCAGTAGACTTAAAATGGACTGAATCTGCTTTTAAGATCAAAAATGTTCTAAGATCTACTTAAGTGATCAAGCAGTTTCCTCCCCTCACAATGGGGGATACCTCGGCTCACAGGAAAATGTGTGAGGGGAGACAATTGCAGAACAACTTAATTGGCTGTCAGTCCAGAATGGTCTTACTTATGGTTTAAGATCATGTAAGACTATTTGTGATCTTAAATTGCACTTTAAGACCAATTAAATCAAGCCCATTAGTGTTAATTGTCACCTCAGCCAGGCATAGGGAGCTGTGCATATTTCCTATTATGATGGCTTGGAAAAAGTTTAATTCAAAGCAATAGCAAAGTGGTTAAAATGGCAGCTGTTGCTTTCACATAGGAAACATGCAATGAAGCGTGTTTTGTTTTAATCCAGATGTAAATGTAAGCCCACACACAGTGTCCATTGATGTTCGAAGAAAATCTGATGGTTAGTAAAGATTTAATTTAAGGTAGTTGTTGGGCATTAGACAGCTGAAATTTATAGAAAAATGAGCTCTCTTTGAAATTTCAGTTATTTTCCCTCCATCACCAAGGTTAACCTTAACTTTAAGTGGCCCACACCCTTTTTATGTACAGACACAGATGTGTTTGTACATATAGCTGTCACCTGCATCTGAAAAAATGTTTTACCTTTTGGCTTGAAAATTACAGAACTGATGAATATTCTTAATACGCAAGGCAAGTTTGAAAATCAGCATAATTGAACCATTTTCATAATAGTTATGCTGTTTTTTTTTTTCACTTTTTTCAGCTTATATGCAACACTGATAACACAATAAGTGGAAAATCGATTGGCCAATAATTATTATTTCAACATTTTGCCTCTGCATGTATAAAAAAAAAAATCCCACAAGAGAGTTTAAGTGGATGTATCCAAATATGGCTAAAAATCATCATTTTGGGTTTTTGATGTCTAATTATTGGTTAGATATCTATCTAACGTTTAATGGAATAACATTTTTCACATTTTGGACAAAAATATGTTTTTTCTGAAGATTTTGATGCCGCACTCATCGGCACTGGTGGCCTAGTCTGTGGCCCACCTTCGTTGCCAAGGACCGTTGGCATGGGTAAACTCGGTGGGCGGACAATAGCAGCATCAGCGTGACTGGTGAAACAATAAAACGGGAATTTGTCACAATCCCTTTGTCATAAACAGCGATCGGCAAAGCACTGCTTATTGATCCGCTTAAGCTGTTTTGATAGTCACTCTTGATTGTGATCAGGGCAAAGGAGAATCTTTTCCGACACATTAGATTTGCTCGAAATACGCATTTTCATTTGAATTGCTTCTTGTAATATATGTTCTTTTGATATTCTTAATATTTTGAGAAACAAAAAAAGAAAAAGAAACATTCCGCTCCTTGCTACCTGTGACAGCAACTGTCATACTATCGATCAATCTTCGACAACAGTTCTATGCAGTCGTCAGATTTTATAGATTTATGCAACTTGGGCCATCTGGCTTAGCATCAAGACGCATGCTTATCAAAATTTTAACTTGACAACTAATGATTACTTGGCTCTACAGTTAGTCTCTGAATTCACTTCAGAAATCTTTCTTTGAGATTTTTGGACATTATTCTTGGCTGGTTGATTTTACTTGATAATTTATTTCATGTTGTTGTTACAGTGTGCACATTTTTGTGATTAAGAAAAAAAACTAAAAAACAAAATAGAAATTATTTTGAAGATTTAGACTCTCTTATTGACAAAATATCTTTGCTTGCATAATGTCATTGCAATTACTATGAGTTATATCTTCTTATAAGGAGATGTTGTAACTTAAGCTTGTATAAATATTGCTGACAACATTAATTTCGTCCTATAATTTAGTTTTAAGAGGAATATGTCAGTCTGTCCAGTAGGTGTATCTATTTTACCTGATTGAAAAGCTTGTATGAGTTATTACAGTATTATTTTTAATTGGGCTCCAAATGCACCCTTTTCTCTGAAATCTTTACTAAACATTATTCTTGGTTGCCTGAGTTTGATTTTACTTGATCATTTATTTTAATTTCCATCCTACCTGCATGCACTGTGTGTATTTGACACCCTCTCTTAACATTCAAGTGAACAACATGGAATAAAGAAATCAATCTGTGTTGATGCCAGCATGGATATTTTTGTGACTTTAGAAGAAAAACAAAAAGAAAAAGAAAAAAAGACAGCTGAAGATTGACTCAGAATCTCTCTTCAACAAAATCTCTCTCCTTGGCAATGATTCATTGCATTTCTTCTTTGAAACATACATTTAACTAACAGTAATGTGCCATGAATTTTGTACAGCAGAAATTAATTAAGATAAGGAAAAGATCCCTATAAATGATCCCTGAGATGACAAAAAAAAAATGACAATACTATTCTGAGAGCCTTCTTTTCCTTAAAGTACAGCTACAAAACACTGGTATGGTTAATTTCCATCCTACCTGCATACACTGTGTGCATTTGACATCTTCTCTTAGCATTTACTTGAACAGCATAGAATAAAGAAATCAATCTGTGTTGATGCCAGCATGCATATTTTTTGTGACTTTAGAAGAAAAACAAAAACAAAAAATTAAAGAAAAAAAAAACATGACAAAAGTATTTTGAGAGGTTTCTTTTCCTTAAAGTACAGCTACAAAACAAACTGGGATGTCTGTCCCAGATATAAGCACTGTTTTAGTATCATTTTCATCTAAGGAATAAAAAGTTTAAAATACACAGCAGTTATTGGAAACACAAACCTATTTTTTATAATAAGACAAATCCATCCCCTTTCACATAAAAGTACCCCCATTGTAACCCAGTAGCGTGGACAAGCAGATGTAAATTACAGATTGATTAATTTCCCCCCCATTGCAACGAATGAGTATTTACAGTGTTAGTTTCAATTGGGCTTCAAATATACCCTTTTCTACGAAATCTTTACTGGACATTATTTTTGGCAGCCTGAGTTTGATTTAACTTAATAATTTATTTTAACTTCCATCCTACCTACATCCACGATGTGTATTTGACATCTTCTCTAAATATTCACTTGAACAACATAGAATAAAGAAGTCAGTCTGGGTTGATGCCAGCATGCATATTTTATGTGACTTAAGAAGAAAAACAAAAAAGACTTTCGAAGTTGACTCAGAATTTCTCTTAAACAAAATATCTTTGTTTGGCAATGATTCTGTATATCTTCTTTGAAACATACATTGTAACTTAAGCTTGTATAATATTGCTGACAACATTAATGTCATTTTTGAAAGTTTTGAGAGGAAAGTATATCAGTCTGTTCAGTAAGCGGCAGTGTTAGTTACACCACTGTCTATGCCTGATGTACCTTGGATTTGATGTGGAACCATTGACCACTGCATTAATATTACTGCTAATGCACATTTTTCTGGGCACTTGCATCTTATTTGAACATATGTCCTCAGACTTACATAAGCAAATGCCCTTAATTAGCCATTTGTCAATAAATTCAACTATTATTTATATGTGACCCATACATTTGTTTGACTTCTTTCCTCCCTGCTAGGTTGATTAATGTATTCCTTTGAATTTGATTAACCCAACCAGCACAATATGCTTCAGTTCCTCTGGTGTATATTTTTCTCTCAAATATACTGTGTAACCCTTGTGTTCAGTTAATATTAGTATTTTAGATAATAAAATTTCCTGCACATTTTTTTGGATAAAGTTTAGAAATATATTATACTATTGTTTGAATTTCATCATTAAGTATTCTTTCTCTGACATTTTTGTTCAAAATTCTGTAAGCATATTTAATTGTTTTGAAAATTAGTTAAATGTTTAAAATATATTTTAAAGGCCACAAAAGCAGTAAATGTTTCCTCCTGGCATTGCTCTTTGATAAAAACTAAGGGGGTTTAATTTCATCACATATTACTATGATCAAAAATGACTTGATGTATCAACCCATTTAGTCTATTTAGGAACAATTTACTTTTTTATTATCATCATTAGACAGGTGATATTAAAGAAGCCAAATTAAATCCTTTTCCTTCTTCAGTGTGGTGATGGCTACTATACCACCCAGCACAGCACCATGGTCTGCACTATTAGACTGCATTCCCACAGATTTTAGATCAATCTATCCCTGTGCAGAGTCTCACTAGATTACCGTCAGCTTAGCCAGCTTTAATGTCTGTCCTGCCTACTAAAAGCTGTAAGGGGGTAATTAACTTCCGTGCGCGCTTGGCTGACAGCAATTTAACCTGAACCCCCAGGGAGTTAGGTCGATCTAGATGGATCAATCTAATTCTGTGGGAATGTAGTCTTAGTCTTTAAGATAAAATTTCCTTCATATGTTTCTTTTTCTTTCCTCAGTGTGCTGACGGCTACTATACCACCCAGCACAGCACAGTGGTCTGCACTATATGTCCAGGAAGCTATAGTTGCCCGGACCCTGCACAGCCCCCACAGTTGTGTAAGGCTGGAGAGGTAGGACTTTATTTACTAACAATATTACAAAGAACGCATTAAAAACAATGGACTAACAGATCTGTGGATCAAATATGGAGACCCACTTAAAAAGGCTGCCATTCAATCCCCGATTTAGAAACTGAAATGAGACTTGGACATAATAACGAAGGGACTGGTAATGCGGAGCAAGATCAAAGGATAATTGGCTTAGCACGAGCTCTTCGTGAAACCATGTGCATTCGGATCACGTGACCTCCTGTACAGGTAGCGAGCAAATTGGGGTTGTCCATGACTTTTTGTGTCATTTGGACAGGCAGTTGGCGATAACGTGAGGCAATCCTTTGGGTGGGTGAGAAAATTAACTTATAGAGATCAAGTATAAGTACAATTTGTTCTATCAATTTGGAAACTAAATGAGAAATTTATATGTTTGTTCATGGAGGAATTGAAAATGCCTTAGGTGGTAAAGGCAATCTTGTTTGTTGCCATAAAATGAACATTCAGAATTGTATAATTGTTAGTGTAGCATACCTGTTTTTAGCTATGATCCGACAGGAAAACATTTCTAGTGTCAAAATTTTCTATGTGAGAAATTAGCCTGAGATGCAGCAATAATGGATTTTTAGGGTGATAATTAATATTTTTTACTCTCAATATCGGCTCTCGTTACAATATGGCACCACATGCACATTTGTGACACACAAAAATGCACCCGTGATGCCTTTCAATATCCCTTTATCAAAGTTGACAACACTGTTATGAACTGTATATATATATATATATGTTCATGTTACTGGCTCGAATTTGGGGATGATAATTAATATTTTGTACTCTCAATATCGGTTCTCATTGCATTTTATGGTAACACTCATGCATTTGTGACCCACAAAAACACACCCGAGGGCCTTTTAATATCCTTTTATCAAATTTGATATCAAGACTGCTTTGAACTGTATATATATGTTTATGTTACCGGCTATTGTCTGCTTGAATTTGGGGATGTTAATTGATAATTTCTTCACTCTTGTTGGAAAATGGCACCACATATGAATCGGCCAATACATTGTTTTAAAACCAGTTATATAACAACTCAACATAGATCATTACAATATTGAGCATGATAACAAGTGAAGAAGACAAACGCCAGAACCCGTTTTTTTTATGAGGTAACAGGAAAAATATACCGAAAAGCCCAAAATAATTTACACATGCTGATGCAAGCCTATGTGCTTGCAAATGCAAGATGGCGGCAATGCTATTCATAGCAACCACGAGAGACCACGAGAAATTGCGTTATCAATGCAAAAGAACAATAGAAGGTCATTGAGGCACAGTGCGTGCGACCTTGATTATAATCTGTTCAGGCTCCTGTGGAGCTATCAGAACAGCCGGTCGGAGACAATGGGCAAATGTTCACCCAAACGTAGATGTCTTCAAAGGAAGATGCCGCATTTCCAGTCCCTTCGTAATTTTGTCCACGAATGAGATTCCCCTCAGGGATTAAGCAACAAGCATTCAAAGGGGTCGACCATATTTGATCAGCAGATCTGTTAGTCTGCTGTCCTGAATGTGCTCAATGTCTCATCTATACTGAATTGCAAGTACATATCATTCACTAAAGTTATTTACAGTGGTCGATCCAATTCCGCAGGGACTCTCACTGAGTGCAACCAGCCTCATTGATTGACAAACTTCTTGTTACCAGTGTACTTATAAAATCAACAGCTTTTCTTTAATTTAATCCACTCAAGGGCGGGGATGTGTCTTTTAGTTCAGCTGGTTGCAGAGTCCCGGGGCGCAGAGTTAGATTGACCTACTTAGACTGATATTGTCTACAGGAAATCAAAATATGTGTCCCTGTAAAAATTTTGAGTTAAGCTTTATAATAATTAATGTTTACTTACCAAGTTTAAATTATTAATGCGATTGTTATGCACTTTTAGATTCTTTTTNGGTCGATCCAAGTCCGCAGGGACTCTCACTGAATGCAACCAGCCTCATTGATTGACAAACTTCTTGTTACCAGTGTACTTATAAAATCAACAGCTTTTCTTTAATTAAATCCACTCAAGGGCGAGGAGGTGTGTCTTTTAGTTCAGCTGGTTGCAGAGTCCCGAGGCGCAGAGTTAGATTGACCTACTTAGACTGATATTGTCTACAGGAAATCAAAATATGTGTCCCTGTAAAAATTTTGAGTTAAGCTTTATAATAATTAATGTTTACTTACCAAGTTTAAATTATTAGTGCGATTGTTATGCACTTTTAGATTTTCCTTTCATATTATTATTATTATTATTTCGACTGCCAAGGAGGTTTGTTTTTATCTTAATTATATATAGTTTGTTAATTGTTTTGTCGGTCACTGATGCTGTAGATGGCTTTTGATGAGATTTTCAGGGTAAAAAATCCTGAGCTAACAATAAAAGTAATAAGATATTGATAGGGATCTATAAGTCAACTATAAATGAGAACTGAGTTTTCTAATTGGCTGGGTTTGTGCTCTCTGATTGCTTTTCTAGTTCTTTTTTATCATTATGATTATTGTTATATCAAAGGTAGTGCTGACAGCAAACCATTTGTACCACTTTTTGCTCAAAAAACATTTGCTAAATTTACAAATAATTTTGTTAAAGGGAAGTATGAAATATCTATTAAATTGGCTTGTGCCAAAAAAATACAGTGCTTACTATATACCATGGCTTGTATAATGTAACAACCAGATAATTTACTTCAAGTGCAGACATGGGGAAACTGCCTGACAGGTCTGACTGCTTGAAATCCCAGTGGACCTACAATTTGTTTTTATCTCAGGTCTTCTGGACTGGTAATTTTTAAGTGAAAAAGTAATACATGTACGAATAATAAACTGCATGTAAGCACTGACTAACTGAAATAAAATACTTTGTCCATACCAGCACATAATTGGAAGGACCTGCGGGTTTCTTGTACAGTGTAGTGCAGATCCTCCGGACCCTCAGTGTCTCCAAAGTTTTCCCCATGTCTGCGACTATAATAAAAAAAACATCTCACATAGAAACTAGAAGCACTCAGGGAGTCCTGACTTCTTCCAAGACATTGAATATATTCAATTAATAATTAACCATTAATGAATTAATTAATGGACCCCCTTTGAAAATTGAAGTGTGCCACAAATTTGAATTTTGCAGTGAATGTGAAAAATCAAAACTAAAATCACTATAAGTTTGCGGCAGGTTTGCAAGAAGGTATTCATATCCTTACAAATTTGTTGCAAATTTGAGAGAGAATTTGAAGCAGGCCTGATATTTTGCTAAGGGTCATCACCAAAAGCTGATCACTTTTAAGTTAAAATCCATCAATAACTTTTCGAGTTAATTAGGCAGGTGACAAGCAAACAATAAATGAAAAATACGTACCGGATTGTCAGCACTGTGTGATCATACAGGACTAGAAAAATGATGAGAATCCACGTGATTAAAGGGATAATAACTCTTCGTTTCGGCCAAAAAATGAATTTTCCTGGAGTAAACAACAATTTTCCCATACTTACCAATGGTTAATGAATCCATTTTTACATTCAAAGTTATTCCCTGGTTTTTTTCTAAAAAGTTTGGTTTTTTGTTAAAATCTCTTAAGAGATTTTAACAGAGTATAGCCATCAATGGAGGTCACGTGGTCTAAAGACAAACTTATATATCAGAAAAAAAAAGCTATAACTGCCGTTTTTGTGGTAAAACAAAATATATTATATTTCTGTGAGTTATTCGCAATGTTTTTATTGTGAAATATAGATATCATACAAAGAGTTATTATCCCTTTAAGGTGGGCCCATCAAGGTTAATGAAATGTATGCATACACCTGCATTGTCTCTAAAGAAAACCAAGCAAATGAAGTGATACACAAAAGAAGGTGGCATGTACCAGCACTGTTGTACAAAAACATCTTAGTTCTGGAGAAATTCAGAGAGAGTAAAAAACCAAAAATAGATTCTTTTGGCTTTTATTTTATTTTATTTTATTTGTTTTTATTTATTTTATTTTATTTAATTTTTTTTGTCACCACTTTCAGAAGTCTTCCATTGTTTGTGACCCCACTCTCCTCCAAATCCATGCCTGATTTTACACTAAACCCTGGAGTTCTGGATATGTTCAGTGATTTCCATTGGCTTGCTCCAGGTTATACTATGCTTTCCATCTCCTTAATTTTTTTATAAATTTAATTTGATTGAAAGAAGTGTAAATGATTGTTATGATCCTTTCAGTCAAATTAATTTTTCTTTTTATTATTTTTGACATTAATCAAATTGAATTTATTTTTAATTACATTTTAATAATTTTGAATTTCATTTTACATTTTATTATAAACAATTTGGCCAAATTAGAAATCATTCTCATTTAAGACCAAGTTGTTGACTCTTACATACGTAGTTACACATATTTTTGTGGAATATTATCTTGACACATTTATTTATTTTTTGTTTTCCTCCAGTACTCAGATCCTGGCTCCTCTGGTTGCTTTGTCTGTCCTCCTGGAACGGCCTATACTGGGGATGGCATATTACACTCATGCACTCGCTGTGGGGTAAGATAAGAAATGCTTATGAGCGTATTCAGAACAAGATGGTCAGCCGACTAACAGATCAGCTGCCTAAATATGGCCAACCCAACCCAACAATGCTGCTGATTCCTGATGGTCTCCCCACCTCCACACGCACCATTAAAGGGATTAAACTTAAGTTTCGAGGTTTAATTGCTAGGCCCCTGCAGCAGTAGCATTAGTGGCATCGCTTTTGAAGTGGGGTTGGCCATATTTAGGCAGCTGATCTGTGAGTACTCAGATCATCTTTTCTGAATGTGCCCTTTACTGGATGTAGTAATAATTTTTTAATCCATAGATTGTATGTGATTGACTGAGCAAACAATATGTTGGTGGCATGACATCATTATAACAACAATGCTGTTGCATTGAATTGCGGGTTTTAATTATCAAATTTGCTTGGAGTAGGAACATAATCAAATGGGGTAGATCATTCATTTTGTTTTTAGCTACTCCTTGATATCAACAGCTCTATGCAAAACTGAAAAGGGTGGGGGACATGGGCTACATGCTTTAGAATGTGCAGTGAAGTCAGCTTTAAAATGCGTGCAGAAGTGTGTGACCAAAAAATTTGTTCCTGCAACCTTACTGCATACTGTCATAAGTACAGAGCAGTGCGCAGCAAGTGTGCAAGCCACTTGGTATTTCAACAGAAGTAAATGTGCAGGAACCCCAAATGTGAATGTCCAACACATGAGCAGGAGCAGTTGCTGCTGGGAAACCTGAAATTTTGCTTAAGGACTGTATAACCTAGGATACTGTAAGGGACTGTAGCATGATCGAGGAATAAACATATCTTGTACTTGCTAAAACTGACATTATTATTGTGCACATGAACTTCCAACGTGTCACTTTTGCGGAGTACACAGATATCCAATGCGTCACTGGTTGATGTGTACAGTTTTCCAACGTGTTATCACTCTGTGATTGCCTTATTATTATGTCTGGTGGCTCCATCTACTCAGAGGTTTGTAAACAAGGTATCTTCCCTTAATTACTGTAGTAACACGTACACCCAAAGTCTGGTGTATAATCTATGAATGTAAATGTGCAGGTTTGATCATTCAGTGTAATAAAGGCCCCTAATTTTCAAATCGTGTGATACTCTTTTTTGTTTCACACCATTTTGACTATTCAGATAGCATTAATTTCACATTCGTTAGTTTCAATCAAAATTAATCCAGTTTACTGGGGGGGGGGGGGGGGTCTATTTAGTTGTAAGTCACAAATGATCTTACATGGTCTTGTTTATTAAAGGGATGGTCTTACCCTGGACTGACTCTGCTTTTAAGATCAAAAATGGTCTTCACCTTAATGAGTGAGACTTATTAGACTGACGTCTCATTAAGTGGTGGAGCAATTACCTTAATCCCTCGCAGGGGGGAATGTTGGAGGGGAGACAATTGCATATCAACTTAAATGGAAGTTTTTGCAATAATACTCCTACTCATTGATTTAGACCATTTCAGGTGCACTAGTGCAGGCCATTAAATTGTCAATCCCTAGAAAATGGAAGTGCACCGCATGCTGTTAAAGGGGTCTTTGTATTTTTTTATGCGCATGCAATTATTTATTGCAGTATGGTGAACATTCCAATGGTACCCACTGCCTCACATGTCCAGTTGGTTACTACTGTCCACCTTTAAGCAAGGTCCAGCTGTGTCCACTAGGGACATATCAAGACCAGCCTGGAGAGCCGTCCTGTAAGATCTGCCCAGTTGGTCACTCGTGTCTGAATGTCTCTGTGCCACCTGTCCCCTGCACTCCAGGTTTCTACAGCCATCTTGTACAACATGACTGTGTGGTGAGTACCTTTATTATGGACACACACAGTGTCAGTACGCATACACGCACGCATGCACACACCATTAAAGGTACATACGAACCGAGCATCGGTGGAGCGGGGATTCCCAGTAACACATGTAAACCACTTCTACTAGTTTCTTGTAAGACTCAAATAAATTTGACATGCCAAGGGATAAACTGAATAGATCACTCGATCAGCCATCAAAGAGCTTTAGACTGCTGTCTTTAAATTTTTGGTTGGAAATTTAACCTATTTTCGAGACCTACTTTTCTGCCCATTGACATTCAGCATAGAATGCTAGCAGAAAAATCTGTTCAAACATTTTCGGGTAAAATTAAACAATGCCTTTTGATAATTCTCTTAGTTATACTACTTGAAACTATATGCTGGCATTTGTTTGGTTTTTGTGGCAAAAAATTGACTTTGTATGCATCTTTAAAGGGATTAAATCTCAGTTCCAGGGTTTAATAAGGTCGCACGNAAATTTATTTTTAATTACATTTTAATAATTTTGAATTTCATTTTACATTTTATTATAAACAATTTGGCCAAATTAGAAATCATTGAAATTCTCATTTAAGACCAGGTTGTTGACTCTTACATATGTAGTTACACATATTTTTGTGGAATATTATCTTGACACATTTATTTATTTATGTTTTCCTCCAGTACTCAGATCCCGGCTCCTCTGGTTGCTTTGTCTGTCCTCCTGGAACGGCCTATACTGGGGATGGCATATTACACTCATGCACTCGCTGTGGGGTAAGATAAGAAATGCTTATGAGGGTATTCAGAACAAGATGATTCACCGACTAACAGATTGGCTGACTAAATATGACAGTCCCAACTTCAAAAGCAATGCTGCTGATTCCCGATGGTCTCCCCACCTCCACACACACCATTAAACGGATTAAACTTAAGTTCCGAGGTTTAATTGCAGACCCCTGCAGCAGTAGCATTTGTGGAGGCTGGGATACCATCTTGGAATTAGTGGCATTGCTTTTGAAGTGGGGTTGACCATATTTAGTCTGCGGATCAGTTAGTACTCGGATCATCTTTTCTGAGTGCACCCTTTACTGGATGTGGTAATAATTTTTTATCCATAGATTGTATGTGATTGACTGAGCACACAATATGTTGGTGGCATGACATCATTATAACAACAATGCTGTTGCATTGAATTGCGGGTTTTAATTATCAAATCTGCTTGGAGTAGGAACATAATCAAATGGGGTAGATCATTCATTTTGTTTTTAGCTACTCCTTGATATCAACAGCCCTATGCAAAACTGAAAAGGGTGGGGGACATGGGCTACATGCTATAGAATGTGCAGTGAAGTCGGCTTTAAAATGCGTGCAAAAGTGTGTGGCCAAAATATTTGTTCCTGCAACCTTACTGCATACTGTCATAAGTACAGAGCAGTATGCAGCAAGTGTGCAAGCACCTTGGTATTTCAACAGAAGTAAATGTGCAGGAACCCCAAATGTGAATGTCCAACACATGAGCAGGAGCAGTTGTTGCTGGGAAACCTGAAATTTTGCTAAAGGAGTGTATAACCTAGGATACTGTAAGGGATTGTAGCATGATCGAGGAATAAACATATCTTGTACTTGCTAAAACTGACATTAATAATGTGCACATGAACTTCCAACGTGTCACTGTTTACGGAGTACACAGTTATCCAACGTGTCACTGGTTGATGTATACAGTTTTCCAACGTGTTATCACTCTGTGATTGACTTATTATCATGTCAGGTGGCTCCATCTGCTTGGAGGTTTGTAAACAAGGTATCTTCCCTTACTGTTATAACACAGCTGAAGTCTTGTGAATGCAAATGTGCAGGTTTGATCATTCAGTGTAATATAGGCCCCTTGTTTTCAAATCATGTGGTACTCTCTTTTGTTTCACACCATTTTGACTGTTCAGTTAGCAAATAATTTCACATTTGTTAGTTTCAATCAAAATTAATCCAGTTTACTGGGGGGGGGGGGGGGGGGGGCCTCTTTTAAATTGGGCGCCTCCCT